GGGGACGGGGGCGGGGGAAAGGAACCTTAGGGTAGAGACCTTACGGACGGTGGTGGTGAACGTGGTTGTTGAACGTGGCGGGTAGGGGGGAGGGGGGAGGGCTTTGTCATGGCAGAGGAAGACTCGGGAAACCACAACTGACAACTGACAACACTAACGGCCGCCATGCGCCGCCCCAAGCGGTTCACCGGTCACCAACCGAGGTAAGCCCCGAGACGGGGGGCTGTGTACATGCTTCCCCTGAACACCTTTTACACCCCAATAACCCCCCTACACACACACACACGAGTTTGCTGCCTCACCTGCCCGGCCTGCGGAATAACGCTCTCGCACGAGTCCGGCATACCCGGGTCCGCCGGTTGCTGCCGTACAACCGTCTGGCTCTCCACCGCTATCACCCCCACCGCCAAGCCGCCCAAACGAGCTCGGCCCGTCACCACCGTACGAGCCCAGCCCGCCTGGCTCTCTAACCAGCTGCCCCGGTCGAACAGTCCAGACTGCCAACCGCCACAACCGCCACCACCGTTGTAACCGCTGCTGTCGGGAGTGACGTGGCCGCTGACGGCGCCGCCGCCATTGCTGCCGTTGCCGTTGCCGTTGCTTGTGGACGAGGCGGCGGAGGAGGGGGGAGCAGGTCGGGGCGCCTCGCGACCTGGGGGGGGAGGAGGAGGAGAAGGAGGAGGGGGGTTCGGCGTCGAGGAGAAGAAGATGATGACGAAGAAGGGGGAAAAGCACCCGGATTGAAGCACCCACGGCCGTACAACGCAACCCTTTTACAGCACTCACAAAAACACACATACACACATACACACGTACACACACAGCCACAGGCTGCGTTGTCATCGCCACGTCCTTGCCCACTCCTCCTCCAACTCCCGTCCCAGCTCCTCCCCCCTTCACCTCCAACCCCTCGAACATCCAGAGCCCCCCCCCACACACACACGCACATCCATAACTCCCTTCTTGCAACTCCATACACATAGTTTTTGCAACACACCACATACATACATACACACACACAAACACCCGCACTCACCCGCGATGGCCGCCCGGGGGTCCAGCTTCTCCCCGGGCCCCGGGCTGTAGCCAATGAGGCGGGTGACGGGGTCGGCTGTAGCCAGCTCAGGAGGCGGGGCGCCCAGTTGGGTCGGTGCGTACGACAGCAGTTGCAGTACAGTACGGACCCCCTCCAGGTCATCTGCCACCACGTGATGCGACACTCCATTCACCCCCATAACCCGCGGACCCCCCAGCTGCATGTGGCTGGTGTATACCTGTGACATGGTGGCATGGTGTGGTGTAGTGTACGACAAAGGTGAGAAAGGAGGTCGTTGAACCGTGTTGTACAAGCGATCGGTACGATCGCCGTGAATCCGTGAGTGGAGTGGAGTACGGGTTGGGAAATTAGGTGCAAACTAAAGACAGATGTCCAAAACACACAATACATACATTTCCATTTACAATACATACCGTTTCAAATACCCAGACGCTGCAACGCATTCACCCGGCCATAAACCTCCCCCTCCTACCCTCTGACCCCGGTCCCGGTCCCCCTCCCCCATATACACGTACACATACTCATACACACACGCACCCTTTACCCGCCCACTACCCCCTCACCGACACGCTGTGCCCTCCACACACACAACCCCCCCCACTCCCCCATCCCCCCCCCCAGCTCACCTGCCTCCCCAGCAGCTTATTCAGCGCCGCATACCCGGTCAACACAATGGGCTGATCCGCCCGCTGCACGCAGCGGCGACCCAGGCGAGCAAGGTAGGCGCCAATACCCACAGTGCGCCCCGAAACCAGCGTCACCGTGTAGCCCTCCCGCCAGGCGCGACAGAAGGCGGAGGCGATGGCGGCGCTGCCGGACAAACACTCCACTCCGATGCCGTCTTCGAGCCCCACGACGTCGCGGATGGCGAAGTGGAGGGCGCCATCGGGGGCGTGGACGGGCTGGCCACATGCGTGTGCGTGTGTGTATGTGTGCGTATATGTGTGTGCGTGTGTATATCGAGGGCGGGGGAAAAGAGGGGGGGAGCTTTTGGTCGGGGTCGGGTTTTAAGTGGTGTGTAAGCGGATGCGCGAGGTGAAAGACCTGACCGGACATTTATTTCCCCCCGCTCCGTCCTGCCGTACCGTACCGTGCCGCGCCGTGTGGTAGCAGAAGAACCGTGTCATGTTAAACCCATGTATACTTCCCCTTCCCCCCTCCCCTTCCCCCTCCCCCTCTCCTCCCGCACCTCAGCCCGCAGTACCGGCGGTGCCCCCGGCGGTGTCTCCGCCAGCAGCCGCCCGTAGTCGCCCTCGCTGAGGTACAGGTACTCCCACCCCAGCTCGGGTTGGGAGGGGTCCCGCCACTGCACCTGCAGGCAGTCTCGGACCTGGGGGGGAGGGGGCCGAGGGGGAGGGGGGGTTGAGGAGGACGTATGGTACAGCCTCATGGTGGATCACATAACGGGAAGTAGGAAATAGCGCACACTAACGTGATGAAACCCCAATGGCCCCAAAAGCTCAGTAGAGCTCCAAACGAAGCCAAGCTTGCACCTTTACTTATATCCCTAAGCCACTGGTCCAATCCGCCCCGCTCCCCCCCCCCTTTACCTCCGTCGCCAGCCCCACCCTGGCTCCCGCATTGGCCGCCAGGTACAGCAGCGGCAGCCTCTCCTCCAGGGAGGTCTCCACGGCCGCCCGGAACACCGCGTCCTCCGCGGGGCTGAAGGAGCCGCTGCCCCACGTGATGTCGTTGGCCACCGCGATGACGGAGCGACCCTGCAACAGGGGGGGGAGGGGAGAGCAACAGGGGGGAAGGAGGGGGAGTCATTTGCAAGGATTAAAGGAAACACGGAGTGGTGAACTGCCGGCGCCCTTTTTCACCCTCCACACACCTGATATCACAAATGTCAACCGAAATACATACATACATACAAGACAGACAACGTTTCTAACGAATCTTGGAAAAGCCCAATAAAGTCCTCCAAGGCACAAACACCCTCCCCCTCCCCTCACTCACGCCCCCGCTCCTCCTCCCTTCACCCCTCCAACCCCTCCCCACACACACCCGTACACATCCCCCCACCTCCCGCACCCCGCACACCATACACTCAAATACACACATACACACACACATACACACACACGTACCCCACCTGCGAGCACTCCGGGCTGTGCAACGTCAGCTGCCACACCACCATACCGCAGTCATTCCCCCCTATGGCGGGGCGGCCCGGGGGGGCTCTCCGCAGGCGGGGCGGGTTACGGAAGTCCGCGCACGGCCCCGCACCCCCCGGGGCGCCCGGAGCGGCCTGCGGGGGCAGCACCAGCTCCACGGCCTCCACCAGGCGACCGGAGGGGGGGGAGGACTTTGGCTCACCTGGAGCATCAGAACGGGAGGAGGGGGAGGGGGAGGGGGGGGTAAGGGGGGGGTAAGGGAGGAGGTGTGATAATCACACGCAGGCACACCCACCCACACCCACACCCACACGCGCGCGCGCACGCGCTCGAACCCATCAACCATCACTCGGCCCACTTACCCGCCGCCGCGCGGGCGGCCCACAGATCCCGCAACGCCGCCTCAAACACCGCCGGAAAGTCGTACACGTACGTCACGTTGTGCCGCCGCGCCGCCAGCCGCTTCTGCTGCAGCGGCTCCAGGGGAGGGTACGGAGAACCCACCACCATCCCCGCCAGCGCGCCGCCACCACTGGCGGCAGCTGCGGCGGCGGCGGCAGAGGCGGCGGAGACGGCCGTGTCGTACGAGGCCGCTAAACCACCGCCGCCACCGCTGACACCCCGCGGGTGCAGGAGGTAGCTGTGTGGGGCGAAGTAAGGGAGTGTACGACCATGGTGTACGGCAGGATGGTGTGCTTGCACGTGCACGTGGAAGGGCACGTGATGGGAGTGGCGGCCGGGACCCGTCAGTGCGCCGTCGGCACCGCTAGCCTGCGTGAGCACGACAGGGTACAGCGCCGCGGGGACGTATACACGCAGCGGCGGCTGCGGCGCAGTAGCAGCGGCGACCGTGGCGCCAGCCGCTGTCGCTGCCGTCGACATCGACGTCGACGACGGCGATTGCAGTTGCCTTCGCTGCTCCTGAGCAAGCTGCTGTTGATTCTGTTTGTACTGCTCGTACTGCAGCTGGAGAACCTCGCGGTACACCTCCACGTGCTCCTCGCCTTGCTCATGACCTGACGGTTGTCAGTTGGCCATGGGGACGGTTTTCGGTTAGCATCCTCGAGACCTTGCCTAAGGACAGTCCTTCCTTGCCAAGCAGGCTGTGCCGTGCCAATGTCCACCCCCGTCTCCGCACACGGACTGGTTCGGACCCCCTCTACCCTGACTGACTTCCTGCCCCAAACCCCCTCCACCCCTCCGCCCCTCCGCCCCGCCGCCCCGCACTGACACCAGCATACACCGGTTCAGCAACTGCGGCTGCTGATGCACCCCGTCAAGGCACTCCGCTAACTCTATATCCTACCCCGGTCATCCCCTCCCCCCCCCATACCCCGCCAGGTCTACCCCGCCTCCCACCTACCCGTAGGCATGGACACCACCACACGCCAGGCCCCCTCCCGGAGTGGACCGCGCAGTCGCGTCTCCCACACAGAGACCGCCGCCTGGCGTAGCGCGCCGCCGTGGCGAGCAACCAGCGCCGCCGCCGCCGAGCGCAGCGCCGCCGCCACCTTGGCGTCGTCGCGGCCGCCAGGGGGCAGCGGCAGCGGCGGCAGTACGGAAAGGAACAGGTGCGTCCAGTCGGGACGAGCGGCCGCGGCCGCGGCAGCGGCCGCGTCGGCGGCGGCGGCCGCTGACGTGGCGGGTGCGGCGCGCTGCAGCTCGTCCAAGCAGTTGGTCTGCGGCGGAGACGACCGAGATCACCATCACTATCACCATCACTATCACCATCACCACCACACCACCACACCACCACACCACCACACCACCATCGGCAACGGCAACACCCAAATACATCAAAGCCGTTCTTGCTTTGACTTCTGCACCTTCCAGTACTTCTCGCCTTCCCACTCGCTCACTCACTCACCAGCGACTCCTCCAGCTCTTGCATCGCCGCCGACGCCACCGCGTCGCCGTTACCGCTGTAGCTCGCCGCCAGCAGCGCCGGATGGCCCAGACTGCGCACTAGGCCCCTCACGAACAGCCGCCGCAGCGGCGCCGACCTGGCGTCGCGCCGCTCTACCGCCGTGTACAGGTGCCATTGACGGTTGCGGCTAGGACGGTACATCAAACCACTGCCGCCGCCTGCAGCTGTGGCGGCGGCGGCGGCGCTGCCGCCTCCGGCGGCGGCACTAAGGCTGGACAGCTCCAGCAGCGTCGCCGTCACAGGCTCGACGGCGGACATGAAGGTGTCTGGCTGGAATGCGCCATTGTCCGCCCCCACAGGCGCTGAAGTACTGTCTGCCGTACTGGCGGCGGAGGCAGGGATCCAGCGCCAGCCGAGGCGCAGCGGGCAGGCAGTGGTGCCTGGCGCAAGGAAGCTGACAGCGCCGAAGCCCAGTCGGCGCAGCGTCGCCGCCACCGCTGCCACCGCCGCCGCCACGGCGGCGGCGGTAGCGCGGCTCAGCTCTACGCCCTGCTCCGCCGGCGGCAATAACGCATCCAGCGCGGCGGCGCCGCCTGCGGTGCCGCTGTCCGTACTGAGACATATCGGGCCCGGAGGCGACGGCGTACGGCTGTGGCGAGGCGCGCCGCCAACCCCGTTGCTGGCGCCGCCGCTAACGGCCGAGATCGCCACATGTAGCGTGCCGACACCCGCGGCGCCGCCGGCGTCGTCGCGCAACTTGTTGAGTACGGCAGACAGCGCCGTCACGCCGGCGGGCAGCACCGCCAGGCGGTCCAGAAGGAGGAAGGCACCCATTCGCTGTCTGGGTGCAGGGGTGTTGGCGGCGGCGGGATCGTCGTACAACCAAACCGCCAGATGGACACCTGTACGGCATTACACCAGGAAGACCACAACGCCGTCACAGGCCCCTCACAAGGCGCTTCGTGGCTGCTGCTGCTGCTGCAGTATACCATGAACAGCAAATCCCGCAGCTAGGCAAATCAACGTATGCAAGTACGGGGATTACCCCATTCCGTTCCATCCGGCCCCCGGGAAGCTTCATTAGGCACATGCTGACACGTGGTATAAAATTGAATAAATATCAATATTTTACTACATTAAACAAATAAATAAAATGTAATGTCTTATATAAATAAATAAATAATATAATGACCAGCTTCTCCTTCACCTCCCCCACTCGCCTCCCCCCCCCTGTAACCCCCTCGCCTCCCCTCCCCGCCCCTACCCTCCGGCGCCCCCTGCATGACGGGCTCTCTAAGCAGGAAGGGCGCGTAGAGGCGCTTGATGTAGGTGAGGGCGGCCCGGCGGCGCAGCAGCGCGTGTGCCCCCGTGGCATCCACCACCAGACCCGCCAGAGCGTCCTCCACCGCAGCCGGGGCGCCAACCAGCCGGTCGATCTGGTCTTCAAGACCCGGAACCACGTGCACACTGGAGGGGGGAGGAGGGAGCAGGGGGAGAGTGGGGAGGGGGCAGAGTAAATACACAT